GCAGCAGCAGCAGCTGCTGCTGCTGCTGCTGCTGCTGGTGCTGCTCGGTGTGAGGAGACAGCAGCAGGAGACCTCGGTGTCTCTAGCGGGGACTCTGTCTCAAAATGGCAGCAGACAAAGACAAATGGATTTGTTTTTAAATTATTTATTTTCTTTTTTGTCTGTATGGACACTGTGAGTTGCTGCTGGGTGTCGGGCCGCGGTATTTGCGGTGTACGTACACCTCAAGTCTGCGGCGGCGCCGCTGCTGCTGCTCGCGGCGCTCCGGCGCAGCTCCCGGATCTTTTTGAGCTCAAATTGAACAATTAAATTGAAAATAAACTCGAAATAATGCTTTTTGGTCTTTAAATTAATTAAAAAGGAGCAAAAGGAAGCAGTTTGGCGGCGGCGCGGGCCGCAGCCGCACGGGGTGTATCGACAGCTCAGCTCACTGACCAGACCGCCGCTGCATGTGCCTTCTTTTCATTTTTAATTTTCTCCATTTTACCCCTCCCCAGTATCTTTTCCATTAATTGCGTCTTTGCGTGTCCCCGGCGGGCTTTTCCGCAAAAAACCAGCCCCTAAACCCTAAACCCTAAACCCTAAACCCTAAACCCTTGACCGCCTGCAGCAACCCCGACTCGGTCTTCCAGAACCGCCGCAAACCCCCACCTGACTTTTCGTGTTTTTGCAAAAACCAAAAGCGCTGAAAGAAAGGCAATAAAAGGGTCTCGGGCCGGCGCCGCGCGGGACCCCCAGGTCGAGGGTTTAGGGTTTAGGGTTTAGGGTTTAGGGCAAGGGGCGGGGGTTTCAAGACTAAGCAAACTTTTACTTTCTTCCGTTTGCTGCTGCAGCTGCTCTCAGGCTCTGCGGCCTTTGTCTAGCCTCCCCTGAACCTCCTGTGCCCCCTGTCTCCTTTTCTCCCCCCTCCTGACCAAACCCTAAACCCTAAACCCTAAACCCTAGGGCCTCAGCGTGGAGGCGCTTTTCTCTTTGTTGTGTTCCTCTTCCGGTGCCGCGCGGCCGCGGCAGTGCCCCTTGGCGGTGGCAGCGGCGCCTGCCGTCCCCGAGGGTTTAGGGTTTAGGGTTTAGGGTTTAGGGTTTAGGGTTTGGAATGGCGAATCTGCTGCTAAGCATTGCAGCCCGCGGGGCCGGCCTGGGGGCCAGCGCCTTCACTGGGGCTTTCTCTTCTTTCTTTTCAAACATTTCGGGAAGTTGTTTTGGGAGTTTAAAGGACTGTTGCGTTTGCCCGCACCCCACGGAGTGCGGCTGCATCGGTAACCCTAAACCCTAAACCCTAAACCCTAAACCCTAAACCCAAACCCCAGACGTGGGCCCGGCGGAGCAGGCAGGGCGTGGGGGCTGTTTCTGGGGCCGCGGGCGCGCGGGGCGGCGCGGGGCAGGCGGGGGAGACTCTAGGGTTTGGGGTTTAGGGTTTAGGGTTTAGGGTTTAGGGTTTAGGGTTTGCGCAGGGGCGGTGAGCTACTTTCTGGGCTGCCAAGACCACCGCAAGTTCAATTTAATTGTCGAAGTCCACGAGCTCGATCGTTTGCAAAAAGGGGCTCCAGTGTTTTTGCAAATCAACGTAGGCCGCCAGCAGGTCCTCACCAAGGGTAAACCCTAAACCCTAAACCCTAAACCCTAAACCCTAAACCCTAAACCCTAAGCCCTAAACCCTAGACTATGAATCAAGCCGCATAACAGGTCTCCCCTTTCCGCTCTCTCCCGCCTCTGTCCCTGCGCAGAGGCGGCAGGTTTTAACCTTCAGGGTTCAGGGTTTCGGGTTCAGGGCTTAGGGTTTCGGGTTTCGGGTTTCGGGTTTAGGGTTTAGGGTTTAGGGTCTAGGGTTTAGGGTTTAGGGTTTAGGGTTTAGGGTTTGGGTTTCAGATATAGCGGTGTCGGGCAGCAGCGCGTTGGTGGAGGAGCGTTTGTTCGTGAAAGTTCGCCAAGTCGACAAAGAAGTGAAAATGCAATTAATGAAAAAAGGAGTTTTAAAAACAGAATTAATTGCAAGTTTCAAAGTTCGAGTCAAACAAGACCTTTTCGACAAACACTTTCCCAAGAGGCAGTGGTGACTTTTTATTTTTAATTTTATTTCTATTTTATTTTTATTTTTGGTTTTTATTTGTTTTCTTTTTTTGTTTTTGTTTTCGTTTTTGTTTTTGTTTTTGCTTTCGTTTTTGTTCTTGTTTTTGTTTTTGTTTTCGTTTTTGTTTTTGCTTTTTATTTGTTTTCTTTTTTGTTTTTGTTTTTGTTTTGTTTTGCTTGTTTTGTTTTCGTTTCGTTTTTGTTTGTTTTTTGTTTTGTTTTTGGTTTGTTTCTGTTTTTTTATTTTTGTATTGTTTACTTTGTTTTGTTTTTATTTTGTTTTCTTTATTTTACTTTTGTTTTTTTCTACTCTTTTTTTTGTTTTTTTCTTTTATTTTCATTTCGTTTTCTTTTGTTTTTTGTTATCTGTTTTAGTTTTTTCTCCACTTTTTTTTGCATTTATTTGTGTGTTTGCTTCTGTTAGCTTTTTTATTTATTTTGGTTTTTGTTTTATAATTTTGTTTTTTTAAGAATTGGATTTTTTATTTTTCCACTTTCCAAAATTCCATTTCTTTCTTATTAATATATCTCCAGCATCTCTCTTATTTTTTGAAATTTAATTTCCATTTTTATTTTGTTTTTACTATTACTTATTTATTATTATTAATTAGTATTTATTATTATTTGTTACTACCTACTATATTATTTATTATTAATCATTATTTTTATTGTTATTTATTATTATTTATTGTTATTTACTATGTATTAATTCTTTTCTTTTTGTGTTCATCTCAATTGTCTCCTTTTAATTCATTCCATTTTACCTTATTATTTCTCTCGTTTTATTTTATTTTTAATTTTTAATTATCTTTTTATTTCTTTTTTAAATTCAGAGCATATCATTTTAATTAATTTCAGTTTAAAATATCCCTTTTTAATTATTTTTAATTTAAATTATCTTTTTTTCACTTTTTAATTTAATTTATTTTTATTTATTTGTCCCCTTTTTAAAGGCTGACGATGACAGCAGTGCGCGGCGTCAGCAACGTGAAGGCTCTTGTCTCTTTTCACTACAGTGAGTTGCAGCAGCAGCAGCAGCAGCAGCAGCAGTGATGGTGGCAGCAACAGCAGGAGTAGAAGAAGTGGCAGCAGCAGCAGTGGTATTAGTAGTAGCAGCAGAAGAAGAAGCAGTAGTAGTAGCAGCTGCAGCAGTAGTAGTAACAGCAGCAGAGCAGCAGCAGCAGCTGCTGCTGCTGTTGTTGCTGCTGCTGCAGCAGAAGAGCAGCAACAGCAACAGTAGCAGTAAAGTGGGCGAATTAACTTGTGACAAATTAAATAATAAACTAAATAATGGGCTACGTTTTTCCTGGTCGGCGCATTTGAATACGTTTATTTTGCTGCTGCTGCTGCTGCTGCTGCTGCTGCTGCTGCGGTGTGTGACCAGTGGACCCGTCGCTGCCAGCTGCGCAGTCGCCGCTGCTGCAGCAGGCGATCCTTCTGGCGCAGCAAGAAGCAGAGGCAAAGAAGGAGCCGTTCAACTTGGTAAGGCAGCAGAAACAGCAGCAGCAGCAGCAGCAACAGCAGTAGCAGCAGCAGCAGCATTTAAAGGGAAATAAAAGCACTAATTAGACCGTTTGCTGCTGCTGCTGCTGCTGCTGCTGCAGGACTTAGCCTCTATGGGGGAGAAGGAGCGTCTTTGTTTTTTTTCGAAAGTGCTGGAGGGGCCGCTGCAGCGAATGGCAGCTTCTGGCACAGCCTGGACAGACCTTTACTTCAAAGCCGTCGAAACCAAAAAGGGTGCGTTGCTGCTGCTGCTGCTGCTGCTGCTGCTGGGTGTCTGGTGCTGCTGGTGGTTTTGGCTGCTGCTGCTGGTTCTGCAACTGCTGCTGTCGGTTCTTTTGCTGCTGCTGCTGGATCTGCTGCTTCTGGTCCTGCCGTTGCTAGTTCTGCTGCTCCTCGTTCTGCTGCTGCTTCTGGTTCTGCTGCTGCTGCTGCTTGTTTTGCTGGTGTTGCTGCTTCTGCGTGTTCTGCTGCTGCTCTTTCTGCTGCTGCTGGGCTGCTGCTGCTGGTTCTGCTGCTGCTGCTGCGGCTGCTGGTTCTGCAGCTGCTGCAGCTGGTTCTGCTGCTGCTGCTGCGGCTGCTGGTTCTGCAGCTGCTGCTGCTGGTTCTGCTGCAGCTGCTGCAGCTGCTGGTGTTGGCACTGCTGCTGCTACTTCTGCCACCACTGGTGCTGTTACTCCAACTACTACTGGTGCTGCTGCTGCTGTCACTATTGTTACTAGTACTAGTATTACTGCTGCTGCTTCTGCTGCTGCAGCTGCAGCTACTATTGCTGCTGCTGCCGCTGTTGCTGCTGCCGCTGCTGCTGCTGTCGCTGCTGCTCTTGCTTCTGTTGGTGTGGCTGATATTTCAATATGATGTTTTCACAAAATAAATTCGTTCTTTCTTTGTATTTGCAATTACAACAGCCACATTAAATAAATATAAAAATAAAAATAAAAATTAATTTAATTCAAATTTAAATTAAATTAGAAATTCGAACAAAGATTTTAATTGAATGTTAAAAGTTTGCACTTCAATTTTCTTTTACTTCGCTGTTTAGACTTTTAGCATTAAGCGGCGAATTTGGGGCTTGCGGGACACATATGAGCCAAACTCTACACCCTCTAGGGTTTAGGGTTTAGGGTTTAGGGTTTTGCGTGAAAGGGTTGCCTGAATTAATGCCTTCTAAGCGTGTCTTTCCCCCTCTATCTATCCAGAGTTTAGGGTTTAGGGTTTAGGGTTTTGGGTTAAGGGCAAAGCAACCACCCAAATTATTGGCGTGGACGATTCTCTGCTCCAGGGTTCAGGGTTTAGGGTTTAGGGTTTAGGGTTTAGCGCGAGAAAATTTTCCAAATCCACCATCGCCTTCCACGCCCGTCTCGTTTATCTTCAGAGTCTTGGTACTCCATATTTTCTTCATTTTGTTTCATATTTAGGGTTTAGGGTTTAGGGTTTAGGGTTTAGGGTTTGCGTGCAGCCCGGTGGGAGTGGGTGTGTTGGAGCAGCAAGCAGGCGTGCTCCAGCGACGCAGCTGCTTTGAATAGACGCTCTTGCGTGCTTGCTTGTGCAGTGGCTAGGGTTTAGGGTTTAGGGTTTAGGGTTTAGGGTTTAGGGTTTGCGTGCAGACCGGTGGGAGTGGGTGTGTTGGAGCAGCAAGCAGGCGTGCTACAGCGACGCAGCTGCTTTGAATAGACGCTCTTGCGTGCTTGCTTGTGCAGTGGCTAGGGTTTAGGGTTTAGGGTTTAGGGTTTAGGGTTTAGGGTTTGCGTGCAGACCGGTGGGAGTGGGTGTGTTGGAGCAGCAAGCAGGCGTGCTACAGCGACGCAGCTGCTTTGAATAGACGCTCTTGCGTGCTTGCTTGTGCAGTGGCTAGGGTTTAGGGTTTAGGGTTTAGGGTTTAGGGTTTAGGGTTTAGGGTTTGCGTGCAGACCGGTGGGAGTGGGTGTGTTGGAGCAGCAAGCAGGCGTGCTACAGCGACGCAGCTGCTTTGAATAGACGCTCTTGCGTGCTTGCTTGTGCAGTGGCTAGGGTTTAGGGTTTAGGGTTTAGGGTTTAGGGTTTAGGGTTTGCGTGCAGACCGGTGGGAGTGGGTGTGTTGGAGCAGCAAGCAGGCGTGCTACAGCGACGCAGCTGCTTTGAATAGACGCTCTTGCGTGCTTGCTTGTGCAGTGGCTAGGGTTTAGGGTTTAGGGTTTAGGGTTTAGGGTTTAGGGTTTGC